GGTAAGGGAAAAGAAAGAAAGAATGAAAGAAGCAAACAATAACCCCCCCCTAAGAACCCACCACCTCTTTGGCGCTTCCATCGAGGCGGTCATCCTTCATTTCTTCTTTTCTTGCTTTCTGGAAGCAGTTAGGGAATGTATGATGAAGCAGAAATGAGCCGTCAGGATGATATTTTAATGGCTTATATGTCACGTTGGTGCATGTGGCTTTGAACTGGAGCAGCTTTCGTTTCCTGCAGAGAGCGCGCCGCAAATCCCACTTGATAACTTCTACAACCCACAACATTTTTTTTTTTTTTTACGTCCACTCTTACACTGTGTGTTTAGATACGCTTCCTAAAATACCCGCTTGTCTGCCTGCTCGCGTGCTTTGCACCGACGTGGGGTGATCGCTGGGTTCCCCCCGCACTGGGAGGCAGGCGAGCACTGGACTACCCAACTTTCTGGATCCCCTAACGCCATCGCCCCGAAGACTTCACAATAACGCTGACAACTCCGTCCTTTGCTTGATTTTAGCGCCAAATACAGAAAGTAACGCAACACCCGCCTAAAGACCGCGTCCACACGAGAGCTCGCTCCTGGAGCGGGTATACCTGTTGCTCTAAGCCATTGCAATCCCCTCGAACGGGTTTGGCAGAATAAATGCAAACGCGCAGATTCAGCCCAGCATTATTCTGGGAAAAAAAAAATAATAAAGCCTCACAGGATCCGAGGGAAATGACAGAATACATCTGCTTTGAAAGCGAGCTCCACGCACCGAGCACAGGCAAACTGCGCCTGCAGATAAACTGCAGAGAGGCATTCCTTCGAGGCATAGCGAAGTTTATTTGCTGTTTGTTTGTTTGTTTGTTTTCTGGGCGCAATTGCCATTTCTGCGTCTCTCGAAAGGAGGCAATTCTCACCCCAAAAGGGTTTGCCCGGCAGCGCTGCTGCTCGCGTCCCCCCGTACCTGCGCTGCTGACTGCTTCCCAGCGCCTTTAATTAGAGGGGATGAGTTTAAAGTTTCTTTGTTTGGCACTGGGAATTGGAGGGGCTCGGACTGAGCCGCGAAGGAGGCAAGTGAAGAGCTGAACAAAGGCGGGGTGGAAGGAGTCCGACTCTCAGCGAGCTTTTGGTGTTTTCGTTACTAGAAAATAATTAAAGCTAATGAATATGCAGGCGACCGAGTAAATAAATAATTTGCCAGTTCTATATATGCACACACACACATACGGGCACGTACCTAAGTGCATATATGCATACGCACACAAAGACCTCTATATTTTAAAGTTTTATGAGCTCTTTTTTTTTTTTTCCAGTGCTGAAGCATCGTTAAACAAAATGTACAAATGTTGCTTAGCTTAATTGATTAAGCCACAAAGGTTTTCTGCTTTTAAATACCATACTTCTACCTTTCAACAATCATTTTAATATATAGTCAATGGCTCTTTGTAGCAAGAACAAAAAAGAACTATCCGCAGTTTTTCAATAGACTTTGAGCTGGGGAAAGACAGGTTAATCGAGGGTTGCATCTAGAAAACAACCAAGTGTTGTATGTTTGCACTGAATCCAAATGTCTGCATTTTTCTAACTAAATCAAAGGGAGTGTTATTTCTTTTTCTGCTCACTCATCTGAAGGTAAGTAAATTTTCCCTGGCGATCAAAAGCCTGGTCAGCAACAAAGACACCGCCTGCTTTTTCCACCGTCCTGGTGTGGCAAGTTGAGGAATTTCAATAACTGTGACAAGGGTGACTGATTTGTGAACCAGAAAAGGTTTGAATGTCAGAAAATTTACATTGCTCCTATCGAGGATTTTAATAAAATTTTACAAAAAAAAAAAAAAAAAAAAAAAAAAAAAAAAAAAAAAAAAAGA